CTCGAATAAACAACCTAACCTTGCACCTCAAGCAATTAGAGAAAGAAGAACAAAAAAACCCCAGAGTTAGCAGAAGGAAAGAAATCATAAAAATCAGATCAGAAATAAATGAAAAAGAAATGAAGGAAACAATAGCAAAGATCAATAAAACTAAAAGCTGGTTCTTTGAGAAGATTAACAAAATTGATAAACCATTAGCCAGACTCATCAAGAAAATAAGGGAGAAGACTCAAATCAATAGAATCAGAAATGAAAAAGGAGAAGTAACAACTGACACTGCAGAAATACAAAAAATCATGAGGGATTACTACAAGCAACTCTATGCCAATAAAATGGACAATCTGGAAGAAATGGACAAATTCTTAGAAATGCACAAACTGCCAAGACTGAATCAGGAAGAAATAGAAAATATGAACAGACCAATCACAAACACTGAAATTGAAACTGTGATTAAAAATCTTCCAACAAACAAAAGCCCAGGACCAGATGGCTTCACAGGCGAATTCTATCAAACATTTAGAGAAGAGCTAACACCTATTCTTCTCAAACTCTTCCAAAATATAGCAGAGGGAGGAACACTCCCAAACTCATTCTACGAGGCCACCATCACCTTGATACCAAAACCAGACAAGGATGTCACAAAGAAAGAAAACTACAGGCCAATATCACTGATGAACATAGATGCAAAAATCCTCAACAAAATACTAGCAAACAGAATCCAACAGCACATTAAAAGGATCATACACCATGATCAAGTGGGGTTTATTCCAGGAATGCAAGGATTCTTCAATATACGCAAATCTATCAATGTGATTAACCATATTAACAAATTGAAGGAGAAAAACCATATGATCATCTCAATAGATGCAGAGAAAGCTTTTGACAAAATTCAACACCCATTTATGATAAAAACCCTGCAGAAAGTAGGTGTAGAGGGAACTTTCCTCAATATAATAAAGGCCGTATATGACAAGCCCACAGCCAACATCATCCTCAATGGCGAAAAACTGAAAGCATTTCCACTAAGGTCAGGAACAAGACAAGGTTGCCCACTCTCACCACTCTTATTCAACATAGTTTTGGAAGTTTTAGCCACAGCAATCAGAGAAGAAAAGGAAATAAAAGGAATCCAAATCGGAAAAGAAGAAGTAAAGCTGTCACTGTTTGCAGATGACATGATACTATACATAGAGAATCCTAAAGATGCTACCAGAAAACTACTAGAGCTAATCAATGAATTTGGTAAAGTAGCAGGATACAAAATTAATGCACAGAAATCTCTGGCATTCCTATATACTAATGATGAAAAATCTGAAAGTGAAATCAAGAAAACACTCCCATTTACCATTGCAACAAAAAGAATAAAATATCTAGGAATAAACCTACCTAAGGAGACAAAAGACCTGTATGCAGAAAATTATAAGACACTGATGAAAGAAATTAAAGATGATACAAACAGATGGAGAGATATACCATGTTCTTGGATTGGAAGAATCAACATTGTGAAAATGACTCTACTTCCCAAAGCAATCTATAGATTCAATGCAATCCCTATCAAACTACCACTGGCATTTTTCACAGAACTAGAACAAAAAATTTCACAATTTGTATGGAAACACAAAAGACCCCGAATAGCCAAAGCAATCTTGAGAACAAAAAATGGAGCTGGAGGAATCAGGCTGCCTGACTTCAGACTATACTACAAAGCTACAGTAATCAAGACAGTATGGTACTGGCACAAAAACAGAAAGATAGATCAATGGAATAGGATAGAAAGCCCAGAGATAAACCCATGCACATATGGTCACCTTATCTTTGATAAAGGTGGCAGGAATATACAGTGGAGAAAGGACAGCCTCTTCAATAAGTGGTGCTGGGAAAATTGGATAGGTACATGTAAAAGTATGAGATTAGATCACTCCCTAACACCATACACAAAAATAAGCTCAAAATGGATTAAAGACCTAAATGTAAGGCCAGAAACTATCAAACTCTTAGAGGAAAACATAGGCAGAACACTCTATGACATAAATCACAGCAAGATCCTTCTTGACCCATCTCCTAGAGTAATGGAGATAAAAACAAAAATAAACAAATGGGACCTAATGAAACTTCAAAGCTTTTGCACAGCAAAGGAAACCATAAACAAGACCAAAAGACAGCCCTCAGAATGGGAGAAAATATTTGCAAATGAATCAACTGACAAAGGATTAATCTCTAAAATTTACAGGCAGCTCATGCAGCTCAATAACAAAAAAATAAACAACCCAATCCAAAAATGGGCAGAAGACCTAAATAGACATTTCTCCAAAGAAGATATACAGACTGCCAACAAACACATGAAAGAATGCTCAACATCATTAATCATTAGAGAAATGCAAATCAAAACTACAATGAGATATCATCTCACACCAGTCAGAATGGCCATCATCAAAAAATCTAGAAACAATAAATGCTGGAGAGGGTGTGGAGAAAAGGGAACACTCTTGCACTGCTGGTGGGAATGTGAATTGGTTCAGCCACTATGGAGAACAGTATGGAGGTTCCTTAAAAAACTACAAATAGAACTACCATATGACCCAGCAATCCCACTACTAGGTATATACCCTGAGGAAACCAGAATTCAGAAAGAGTCATGTACCAAAATGTTCATTGCAGCTCTATTTACAATAGCCCGGAGATGGAAACAACCTAAGTGCCCGTCGTCGGATGAATGGATAAAGAAGATGTGGCACATATATACAATGGAATATTACTCAGCCATAAAAAGAAACGAAATTGAGCTATTTGTAATGAGGTGGATAGATCTAGAGTCTGTCATACGGAGTGAAGTAAGTCAGAAAGAGAAGGACAAATACCGTATGCTAACACATATATATGGAATTTAAGAAAAAAAAATGTTATGAAGAACCTAGGGGTAAAACAGGAATAAAGACACAGACCTACTTGAGAACAGACTTGAGGACATGGGGAGGGGGAAGGGTGAAGTGCGTTAGGGCGAGAGAGAGACATGGACATATATATACTAACAAACGTAAGGTAGATAGCCAGTGGGAAGCAGCCGCATGGCACAGGGAAACCGGCTCGGTTCTTTGTGGCTGCCTGGAGGGGTGGGATAGGGAGGGTGGGAGGGAGGGAGACAAAGAGGGAAGAGATATGGGAACATATATATATGTATAACTGACTCACTCTGTTATAAAGCAGAAACTAACACACCATTGTAAAGCAATTATACCCCAATAAAGATGTTAAAAAATAATAATAAAAAAATAAATAAATAAATAAAAAAAGCTAATGAGCAATAAGACCATATGGAAATAAACTTTATTTTTAACTTTAAGAATTAAATGCAGCAGTGACTTCAGTAAAATTAATAATTAATAGTTATTTAGTTGTTAATGAATTGATCTTAATTAGAGGATTATAGTAATTAAGAATAAGTTCTATGAACTCATTGGCTAAATTACAGTCCTACCATATGTATAGAGAAATAAGTGTTTCTTTTCCTGACAACCAACTGGTTTCTGGGCCAAGATATTTCCATCGATGTTCCAGATTTCTCCTTAACCTCTTTAATCTCTAATGAAGCATATTTTCTATTTGCATGGCACTTAAAACTACAAAAACACTCTGAGATAATTAGCCCAGTTTTACAAATGTGGAAATCGAAGCTTAGCGATGTTGAGTGATTTGCCCATGATGATATATCTTGCATATATTTTTGAAACAAGGTGTTTGGACTCCAAATCAAGTACTCTTTCCACTATCAGGATACCACTTGTAAAAGAGTCATAAAGTAAGAAAGTGGGTCTGTCTTGGATCTGTCCAAGAGGTTTTAATAAAACTACGCTTAACTGTGTAGTTCTGCCTAGTGGGCATTTTCACTTCAGGGTTCTTCAGAACACAGTCATGCCAGGGTTGCAGTTGTGTGCACCCACATCAATAACAACAGGTTGTTGATATTTCGTTTGGACTGACAATCTTAATTTGTTAGAAATAAGTATTTTATGTGGTTTAATTTTGTCTCCCATTTTCTTTTATTGTAGTTCTCCAGAACAGAAGGACAGATGGCTCTCTCTCCTTCAGAGGTATTTTTTCCAGTATATATATATATATATATTTTTTTAATCTTTAAGTTGTAGTTGAATGAATTAAATTTTTCTCTGCAGGGATGTGCCCCAAACTATCCCCCTTTGCCTTAGTAGAAATTGTTCATTTGTCCTCAAAATAAGCTGTTTAGACTGTACACTAGCAACTACTTACTGTAAACAATGTTCTGTCATTACATGTATTTCTTTCTTACTAGGAAGGAGAACACTGAGGTCTGGTTAGATCATTCTAGACAGAAATTAGTAATCTCTCCCGTCTCTTTCGGTATCTCCAACCTACCATGTGGAGCTAACAGTTTCCTCAGAGCATGTATTAAGTTTCCATGCATGGAGGTTTTCTGCTGAGGACCTCAAAATTCAATTATTTTCCCTACCTTTGAGCCTTAAGACTAAAATGGCCAATTGAGGTTCATCTCTTATTCCCATAGTCCTTCCCTGCTCTCCCTTCCCAAGCATGGAGACGACCAAGATATATACTGCACTGGAGAGCTCAGTGAGAAATAAAAGGCCATTGTTTTGGTTTGGTCTAGTAAAGTGTTATGTATGCTCCTGTACTTATCACTAAGATTCTGGGCCTGTCCAGAGAAGGTAGGGAAGCTTTGAGGATAAAACACCATCCAGAGGTGCCTTAACCTGACTGTACTTCTCAAGCCTCAGTTGAAATGGATCTCCTCTTCTTTTTTGTGCCCATGCCTAATGTCCTGAGAATTTTTTAAAATTCTCTTCCAACCCATAATGTAATCTGACTTTGCTGAGTCTCTTCATCTGTCTTTTTAAAAATAGCATATAAGTATATTGAAAATATTAGCAAAATAGATTGATTTAAAAATAAGCCATTGGCAAAATCCATCTGACTCAGTGTTGTTTTGGGTTGTTGTTGCATTTGATTAGATACATCAATCTAGAGAAAGAGAAGGACTACCCGAAGAGCATTCCCCTCAAAATCTTCGCCAAGGACATTGGGAATTGTGCCTATGTAAGTGTTTCTAAGCCAGAAAATTAAATTCCAAGTCCCTGCATAAGGCAGAACACCATGGGAATTGTGAGTGTTTCTAAGCCAGAAAATTAAATTCCAAGTCCCTGCATAAGGCAGAACACCATGGATAAAAAGAGAGACAGGCTGGCAGACAGACATTCTGTGTATGTGCTGTGGAAGGTAGACATTTAGAAATACCATTATGAGAAAGTGCATTTCCTGGGGTATCTGTGTATCTTTGTTCATATGAAAAGTAACCCTAGAGAAAATGAAGCAAGAGAAATTCATATTAATTACAGTATTTAACATTTACACTTGGAAAGAATATTGCCTGTCAGATGTCTCTTTCCTCCCTCTGGCATTAATGTTTCTCTGGATCCTTTCAGTAGCAGCCGCAGGGGCTTGTAGTAAAGACATTTCCACAAGGAGATATTTCCTATTAGTATTAAGCAATTTTTTCCAACTTGTCACTTCTTAAGTAGAGAGTGGGTTTTGGAAAGTTATTCATTCTTTGAGTTTTTAAATATTGAATTCCTCAGGTTAGTAAATGGATGAGCTGGGAGAGAGAACATTTTTAATGGATCAGCATATTCTACCTCATGGTTTTTATCATTTTGGTCAATAAAAATTAAGTTTGTTTAGCCCTAGTTATTATGTGGAATTTTATGACTGAAATATCATGCCAAGATGTTATTAATGATACACAAAATGGAAATGAATATTTTTATGATACTGTGGTTTGCCACACTTCATAGCAGCCCTAGATCACACAGAATAGTTTTGTGTGTGGAAAAATATGTAGTACAAAACAGTTATGTTTTGGGCAAAAGTCATGCAAATGTTCTGACATGAGTGCTAGATGTCACTGCCTGAGGGAAATGCTCAAATGTGTATGCTATGAGGCTACAGACATCTTCTGTAGCAAAGTAAAGAGGAAAAAAGCACCACTGTTTTTCTGCCGGCTTTGATTTAGTTGTTATGTCAGTTGGTTACATTCAGGATTTTCATAGGAAAACCCTTGAATTTTTTCCAACACTTTCAGCGTATGGAAAGTGTGTGCTTGAGAAAGGACTGGTTTTGGAAAAGAAGACGAGATTTGGTTGAATTGGGTGCTCTGTTTTATCTCTAGTACCCTGGTTAAAGTCCATGATGATATGACACACTGTCCTTTGCTCTCTGAAGTTGTTTCGGGGCAAGAGTCTCCTTTCAGGGAGCCCTGCTTTCAGAGTGATTCCCCCCAAATAGCAGTGCATGTATGAGAAGCATTCTTTATCCTTGGCCTCTAATTATGCACAACCTGTTAGTGAATTCTGCTAATATGGGAAAATAAATAGCCACATTCTCAGTTTTGTCTCTTTATTTTATTTGTTTACTAGGCAAAGAACACTTATCTGCTAAAATTCATTTGTTTTGTCTACCCGAGAGGCATGCAGGAAAAAAAAACACATCCTATAATTATTATTTTGAACATATATACCTAATATTAAGAAAAATCATTATCTTAGAAACCAGGTACATTGGGAGTGATTATTAGTGTTACAGGATAGATCCTTCACTTTACAAAAGCCTTTATAGAGTGTTTCTTTAAATTAAATGAAAGGGTTTTCAGACTCACAAGAAAAAAGCAGAAGGCTTTCATTATATTCTATCTCAACTTAAAGCCCAGTATGTAAAACATCTCTGCCATTCTGGTAGAAGACAAACACTGAGCCTTCCCTGTTCATTTCTGAGATACTTTTGCTTAATCCTTGGAGCTATAAGGAACACCATTTGAAATCAGTTAACAAACTTGAGGCAATTTGTCATGTCAAGTAATAGGCTTATAGAGAATAAATACTGTAATGGAGAGATAAGTGATGAGTTATCAGTAGATTTCGCTTAGCTTTATTTTTAGATCATTTTGTTTCCATTTATGTTACTTATTTGTGCCATCAGGGACACAGCACTAATTGCTCATTTATCCAATAATTATATGTAAAACCTACCCTATGTGCATAGTAAATATTTCTTTTTTTAATTTTTATTTTATATTGGAGTATAGTTGATTAACAATGTTGTGTTAGTTTCAGGTATACAGCAAAGTGATTCAGTTACACAGTACATATACATGTATCTATACTTTTTCAAATTCTTTTCTCGTTTAGGTTATTACAGAGTATTGAGCAGAGTTCCTTGTGCTATACAGTAGGTCCTTGTTGGTTATCTGTTTTAAATATAGCAGTGTGTACATGTCAATCCCAAACTCCCAATATTTCTTTTCTGATAGCATAGCATTGTCTTATATTTAAATAATGTCTATTTAGAGTTCAGTGAACTCTATAGATATCTCAGAATCTTGTTAATTCCATTTCTCTTTCTTGTGAACTCTTTATTTTTAGATAGTAATTTCTCAATGTAGTTTAGCATTTAGCATAGGGCTATTATAGATACCCTATTCAGTGGCAGAGTCGGTAACAGAATTGAGCTTTCTAAAATTTTCAATTTGTTTGCTAGGCCCATTGGTTTTAAGGCCTCTAAAGATTTCAACAACGAAAATCTCAGCAGCCACAGTGCCTGACATACAGAAAGTGCTCAATAAATAGTGGGGGTTTTTTAAAGATGTCTTTTGTAACCATTTCTTACTCTGATTTTACCTGAACTGACTTTACCTTACAAAGAAATGAAAACCCACACTGTGAAAACAGTACTCAGAAAGAAATAGAAAGTAATCTAATGCTCTCCCTTTTTTACTGCACAGTGCTTAATGGAAATAGTCATGGACATGATGCAGAGGACCAACCTCACTGATTATTTTTGTTTGTTTGATTGGGAGGGTGGTCCTGTCTCTCTGAAATATATTTATTCTTTTTATTTCTGGCTTAAGTTCTTATATTTTTGAGTCATATATTCTTTATTTTAAGAGGAAGAGATGTTTTATTAAAAGGCATAATATGTAATGAAAGTAAATTATCAAGGGTTTGTGTACTACTTAAGTTGTGCTTTACTCTGTTAACACTTGAAATCAGGATTTGCCTATGGATAATCACTTGACAATAATTATTTGTTCACCTGTTTTAAAATTCATTATTTATAGATATATTTCTTATTTCTTTTTTTTCCACAGTCTAAAACTATAACAGTAATGAATTCAGATACAGCAAATGAAGTTATCAACATGTCACTGCCAATGCTAGGGATAACTGTAAGTTACTCTGCTAGATATTCTTAATTAAAAACAAACTTTGATACTTTGATTCTTATAAATATTATCCCTTCCATCATAAGACAGCTGATTATTAGAGATACCAGTCACATTTTGTCCCCAGAAATGTAGAAAATAAGGACAGTAAAGTTTTTTCTTCTTTTTGAGGATGGACACCACTTTTCCCCAGTTTTGCTTTTAGCTTCTGCTTCTTTCTGTTTCATGGGGCAATGATGAGTTTTCGAAATTTTATTAATAGGGAAGATTGGAATGTTTGAGGATGAGGTAGAGAAAAAGAATCAGAAAGTTCTCATGTCCTCCCTACCAGTATATAAAAACCACACAGTAGGTACTTGTATTAAAGGGAATGACTTTCAGAAGGATGGAACTAAAGGAAGCACTTGAACAACACCATTTCTTGAGTGAGATTCTCTATAAGTATGAAGACATGGTGTTACTAAGATGTGACATAACATATATTTAAGATATGCCATAGTCTTAACTGTATTTCAGTTTGCTTTTACACATTGCTATTATAAGCTCTTAAGAACTCAGGGCAACCACAATTTAGAATAATAAATCTGATTTATTTTAGTGAAATTTAATCATATATTTAAGATGTAAATAAATATATATGCACTGAATAAAGCAGGCACCTCTGCATTGATTTCTAAGCTTATATAATTATACATTGGAAGAGAATGAGTAGTTTAAGAGAAGGAAGAGAGATTAATTAATGACATGACTCATTTTCTTATTTATTCTTTCCTTTTGGATAAAGTGATCAATCTCATCATACCAAAAATATTTCTGTTCAATATAATTAGGAATTGAGGCTGTTTGGTTGTACTGTTCTAAGGGATTATTAAGGTGTTTTCAGACACTACAAAAAAAAAGAAATGATCATTGTTAGATTGCTGTCCCTGTTTGCAATAAAAATTTTTTGACTAGGGGATAGTGAAGGAAATGACAGAGTAGGGGAGGGTATTGGGAGGGGTAATCTCCTAGCCAGGACCTTCCATTATGAGGTCAGGGTCCTGATTTTTAATCAGAAGATAAAGGCAAGAATATTAAATATTGTCAGTCTGTTGTAATTTCATTTAAAACATTTTTGCTTTATCTTCTAGAGGATACAGCAAAGTCTGTATAATTTAGTATTATTTCTTTCAGGTGGGAGTTTCAATATTGCTGGGTTGTAATTCTACTAGTGAACAGTTTCATTGTTCCCCATAACTGGGCCTATTCTCTAGACAGAATTCTTGTCCTTTCTGTCCCTAGGCCTGGACTTGACCAAAATAAAGCCAGTGTGGATTGTGCCAGCTACCATCTCCTCTCCTCAAAGCCCGTTGGTCATTCTTCTTCCACTCAGAAGCAGCTAAGCTAATAATCAGCCTTTGAGACTTTACTTTTTCATCACAGACACAGCAGTGTAGTGGTTTTCTGGATAACAAGGTTGTCTTTGCAGGGACATGTTGGAGATTAAGTCCAATATTCTCTGAGAAGTTTAGAGATAGCAGAAGGCAGGTCTCTGAAGAAGATAGATTTACCTTTTAGAAAACCAGGAAGTTTCTGCTTACTTTGTAAAAAGGCATATATATGATTTCATATTCTGTGGGCTACCCATAATAGTGAGGGCCTGATTCTATTGCAGTTCATGGATCCCTAGTCATCCCTAGGGGAAAAGGGCAGGATTCCTTAGTCCTCTTTTGGGGATTAGAGAGGGAGAGATGGTTTGTAGGAATCAGCACTGCCATCTTCAAAGGCCATATCCACCCCCATGGACCTGAAAAGCATTTATACTGTCCCTGGTTTTTCTTTTTTGCAAAACATAAAATTGCCAAAAAAAAAAAGTATCCTCATTCCTTTACCAAATGTGAAAGAATTATTGTTAATTCTTTTATCTCCAAGGGCTCTGAGAGAGAGTACCAGTTATGGGTCAATTCTGGCAAAGAAGAGGCACCATACCCACTTATTGGTAAGTTTCTATGAAAATATAAGATAGGATTGATTGTGTTTTAATTATAATTCTAAATGTCTCAGAGAATTGGTTATATGGTCCTAAATTTCAATACTATTAAATATTAATCTTCTATAATATCCATATATTAATTTAATAAATATCAAATATTTCCTATGTGCCAGACAAATAATATCTCTTCATTCAAGAAGCTAATGGTATACTTGGGAAGAGAAATGTAAATTTTCTTCTTTTTTTTTCACTTTACAAAAGCACTATCTTGTCAACCTTTTTAAATTTTTTTCCAAAATAAAGCAATATGTATTGGTATTCCTTTTTCCCTATATATTTATTTTTCACATTTAGTTTTTGAATGCTCTGTTCCCTTTCCTACCTACTACTTGTCTCTATGGAAGACTATCTATAATCCAATCATGCCTCAATCTATCAATATCAGTGAGTATTTAACACCTGCCCTGTGCCCAGCACTTTCCTAGCCATCATAAAGACAATGAAATTAAACCATTTAGATTCTTAGTCTTCACTGACTAACTTAGCAATAACTACTACTTTACTAACTACTTTGCTACTTCTCTAGCCAAATTTTCCAGCATTTTTTTGAAGAATTATTGGTAAATAGGTTACATCTTCACCTTATTTAAATCATTTAGCTAAAAAATATTCTTGATCAGTGAGGCCATTCAGTGTGGTTAACAGAAATAAACCAATTACAATAAGGAGCAGTATCTGTAGCACATCTTGACATTGATGATTGATGGTGATGATGATGATTTCTGTTAATAATTTTTAAATGCTTACTATCCTGCCAGAATTGGGCAAAGCATATCATATGAGTTATCTCATGGAATCCTTTCATTTACCTGTGAGATCACTACTGTGTAATTCAGGTTTCGAATAATCTAAAACCAAACTTTTCTATGAAATGTATATTCTCAGACTTAAAGTAGAGCAAGTCATTGTGCACATGGCTGGAGACAAAATTCACTGCATTTCCAGTTTCTTAATGTTGTCATTTTTGTAAAAGTCAATGAGCAACAATTAAAGCTGTGTTTAAAAACCGAATGAGTACATAAAATAATTGTTTTAATAAAATATGTTAATTAAAATTATATAGATGGTAACTCTCAGACTTAAACAGCTTCAAGCTCATTTCTAACTCTCACTAAAAAAATACATGGGACACGGGACATGATTGTTACTTAGCAACAATTCTCCATTGCACATTTTAACATGCCTTGTAAACTTCAATTGTAGATTAACTATTGGCTATTTTGATAAATTGATTTTGCTTTATTGCTGTCATAGAAGTCCTTTTTTTGCCTTAATCCCTGAAACTTGCTGTAGTACTTGAGGTTAATGGAACATTGTCATTGTATGCCTATGCCAGATGGAAAGGAAATGGAAGAGTTCACTGAATTACATTCAGTGATAAATCAGGAATAGAAGAGAATTTACCCTCTTTAAAACGTAAACTAAGTCTATGGCATAATGGTATGTGAGGATTAATTTAAAAAATAGAATTACTTCAGAGTACTAAAGAGCAAAAAATCATGTTGCAGTCAGATGTCCAGGGTTTAGTTTTTCTAGTTTGAAAATTCCTTTCTGAATCTTGTCTCTTTTTCTAATACCCTGCAGTCTTCCTTCTAGTTATTGCCTATGAATAACAACCTCAGAGGACAGTGGGGCGGGGGGGGAAGCATAAATCAAACAAACCAGTCCTAATGAGTCTTGAGTAACTCTAATTATATAACTAGTAAACAGTATAAAATGTCTTTTTCAGAAAGATATCTTGTGTTGAATAATAGTAATAATAGTGATGTTTGAAATATATAGTTTTCTGCCCTTATTATTTAAATAATATTAACTACTAATGTTTACTCATTTGATCCTTAGAATGCTGTGTGATAGGTAGGGTAAATATTTTAAATCAGAGGTCAAGGATTGGCTGAAGATTTGCAGATATAGTTAGTGTCAAAGGAGAAACTAGAATACCTTTAAATACTCTCAGATGTGAATATAGGAAAAGTCAACATTATTCAACTTAAAGACAATCTGTGCATTCCCAAACAAGATATTCTTTAAAGATTTTTTTCCTCTTTGATTTTTTTTCTCCCCTCTCCAAAAAAAAAAAACAAAAGACTACTCTGGTTGGGCTGCTGCATTATGCACTGGTCTCCAACTGTAAGAGTGTGCATGGTGATCATTAAGTCAAAAAAAGGATTCTTTATACCAAAAGTCCCAGGAGCAAATTGCAGTACATTCCAGTATGTAGCACACACGCTCTTGGTGTCAGTCAGCCCAAAGTCTATGTTTAGATTTTTTCTCTGTGTAGGGCATGAATATCCCTATGGAATTAAAATGAGCCATCTTCGAGACACTACACTCCTGACGCAGGGATCAAAGGATTCCCCCACACCTTCCAACTTCCAAGAGCCCTTCCTCATGGAACAGCTGCCCCGAGAGATGCAATGCCAGTTCATCCTGAAGCCCAGCCGCCTGGCTGTGGCCCAGCAGCTGAGTGGTGAGTTTTCTCCTCCCTCATAGAGCCTTTTTTTAGCAAAACTTTTCATTCCTGAAAGCAAAGTTTTCAAAGTTCTTTGCCTTTATACAGACAAAGACCCAAACTTCCAGCCAAATGAAGTATTTTTTTCTTTTGAATTTGCTAAGTGTTTTGAAAGAAAAGATGGAGTTTTAGAAGATGGTTTTATAAATCAGCAGTAGGAGTGACTGACTTATAATCAGCAGTTACTGACTGCAGTAGAGTCTGTTCCTTCTTTCTTCACTATTCTTTCCCCTTTAACCTATGCCCACTGCAGAGTCAAAGGCACCAGGCAGTGCTGCAGGTGCTTCAATGCTTTCTTTGTACTGTAATACATTGCATTGTGTGTTCCCCCTAAATGGTCACATTATAAAAAGGAGGCTGTCAGTGATGGGTGTCAGGAGACTCTGATGCCCTACCTGGATCCTGGTACTGGTAAGTATGTTAAGATTAAGATGATTTCCACAGAAATCTCTCCTTTGTCTACTAATCTATTTTGATCCCTGTGAATGTAACCATCCCTTACCCACACCATAATAAAGACTCCAGAATGATAAAAGTGATATTCAACATAGAGGACCATCATTAATTACCCTAACCCAAGTTTGAGCTTTATGCCCTCAGTCTGAGAATAGATTGTGTAGAAAATAGAAGAAAATATATCACACCAAAAAGTGTGAGTGGTGTAGTAGAAAATTGATGCTGAATTTTTGTAGCTGCTTTTGTCAATTTGAACAAACTGGGGGATCCAGTGAACAGTGGCCATTGTTTTCTACTCATCCCCCCACACATGCATGTCCAACCCTTTTGGATACCTTTTATTTCCAATACTATGCTGAATAAAAATGGTGAGAGTGGGCATCCTTGTCTTATTTCTGATCTTAGAGGAAAAGCTTTTGACTTTTCACCATTGAGTATGATGTTAGCTGTCATATATGACCTTTATTATGTTGAGTTACATTTCCTCCATTCCCACTGTCTTGAGAGTTTTTAATCATAAATGAATGTTGAATTTTGTTAAGTGTTTTCTTTATCTATTGAAATGATCATATGATTTTTATCTTCTTTTTTTTTAATGCAGTGTATCATGTTGATTGATTTGCAGAATACGAACCATTCTCGTATCCCTAGAATAAATCCAACTTGATCATGACATATGATTCTTTTAATGTATTGTTGAATTCAGTTTGATGATATTCTGTTAAGGATTTTTACCTATATGTTCATCAGAGATATTGGCCTATAATTTTCTTTTCTTGTGGTTTCCTTGTCTGGTTTGGTATCAGAGTAATGCTGGCCTTGTAAAATGACTTTGGAATCTGTTTTTTGGAAGACTTCAAGAAGCATTGGTGTTAATTCTTCTTTGAATGTTTGTTAGAATTTACCAGTGAAGCTGTCAGGTCCTGGACTTTTGTTTATCAGGAGTTTATAAATTACTGATTCAGTCTCCCTATCAATAATCAATCTGTTCAGATTTTCTATTTCTTCATATTCAGTCTTGGAAGTTTGTATGTTTCTAAGAATTTATCCATTTCTTCTAGGTTGTCCAATTTGTTGGCATATAATTGTTCGTAGTAGTCTCTTATGATCCTGTATATATCTGTGGTATCAGTTGTAACAGCTCTTTTATTTCTGATTTTATTTATTTCAGCTCTTTCTTATTGAGTCTGGCTAAAGGTTTATCAATTTTGTTCATTTTTTCAAAGAACCAGCTCTTAGTTTCATTGATCTCTTCTACTGTCTTTTAGTCTCTATTTCATTTACTGCTGCTCTAATATTTGTTATTTCCTTCCTTCTAGTAACTTTGGGCTTAGTTTGTTCTTTTAGTTCCTTGAGATGTAAATTTAAGTTGTGTACTTGAGTTTTTTTGTTTCTTGAAGTAGGCATTTATTGATATGAACTTCTCTCTTAGAACTTCTTCTGCTGCATCCATAAGTTTTGTATATAATATTTCCATTTTCATTTGTCTCAAGGTATTTTTCTATTTCACTTTTGATTCTTTCATTGACCCATAGGTTGTTAACGGTAGCATGTTGTTTAATCTCCACATATTTGTGAATATTCCAGTTTTCTCGTGTAATTGATTTCTAGTTTCATACCATTGTGGTTAGAAGAAATGTTTGATATGATTTCAGCCTTCTTAAATTTGTTAAGACTTGTTTTGTGGCCTAACGTATGATCTATCCTGGAGAATGTTCCACGTGCCCTTGAGAAAAATGTATGTTCTGTTGCTTTTGGATGGAATGTTTTGCATGTGTGAATGTATACCTTAAGTTCATCTGATTTAACTTGTCATTTAAGGCCGATGTTTTCTTACTGTTTTCTGTCTGAATGATCTATCCATTTATGTAAATGGGTTATCAAAGTCCCCTACTATTATTTATTGCTGTTTATTTCTACCTTTAGGTCTGTTAACATTTGCTTTATATGTTTAGGTGCCCCTATATTCAGTGCATAAATATTTTCAAATGTTATATCCTCTTGTTGGATCGACATCATTATGTAATGCCCTTCTTTGTCTGTTATTACAGTCTTTGTTTTAAAGTTTATTTTGTCTGATATAAGTATAGCTACTCCAGCTTTCTTTTGGTTTCCATTTTCATGAAGTATCTTTTCCCATCCCTTCATTTTCAGTCTGTGAATGTTCTTAGGTCTGAAGTGAGTCTCTTGTAGGCAGCATATAGATGAGTCTTGTTTTTTTTTATCCATTCAGTCCCTCTCTGTCTTTTGATTAGAGAAATTACTCCACTTATATTTAAAGTAATTATTGATAGATATGTTATTGCCATTTCTGTTGTTGTTTTCTGGCTGTTTTGTGGTTCCTCTGTTCACTTCTTCTCCTCTTGCTTTCTTCCTTTGTGGTTTGATAACTTTAGTGATATGCTTAGGTTCCTTTGTTATTATCTTTTGTGTATCTACTTTAGGTTTTTGCTTGTTGGTTACCATGAGGCTTACATGTAACAACTTGTATTTGTAACATTATTTTTATGTTGATACCAACTTAAGTTTGAACACATTGTAAAGCTCTACATATTTTTTCTCCCCGCCAACATTTTGTTTTCTGATGTCACAATTTAGATCTTTTTATCTTGTATACCCTTACTTAAATATTGTAGTTACAGTTATTTTTTACTATTTCTGTCTTTTAACCTTCATATTAGCTTTATAAGTAATTAATTCACTACCTTTGCCATATATTTACCTTTACCAGTGAGATTTATACTTTTATATATTATTAATTAGCACCCTTTCTTTTCAGCTTAAAAAAGTGCCTTTAACATCTCTTATAAGGCCGGTTTAGTGGTGATGAACTCCTTTAGCTTTTGCTTGTCTGGAAACCTCTATCTCTCCTTCAATTCTGAATGATAACTTTGCTAGATAGAGTATTCTTCGTTGGAAATTTTTGTCTTTCAGCACTTGGAATATATTGTGCCATTTCCTTCTGACCTTTAAAATTTCTGCTGAAAAATCTGCTGATAGTCTAATGGGTTTTAGACTACGTAAAAGTTGTTTTTCTCTTGTAGCTTTTAAGATTCTCTCCTTGTCTTTACCTTTTGACATTTTAATTATAATGTGTCTTAGTACAGATCTCTGGGTTCATCTATTTCGAACTCTCTGGGCTTCCTAGATCTGAATTTCTGTTTCTCCAAGTTAGAACACTTTTCAGCCATTATTTCTTCAAATAAGTTTTCTTCCCCTTTCTCTTTTTTCTTTTTCTGGAACCCCTATAATGTGATGTTTAATACATTTGATGTTGTCCCATTTAAGCTATCTTCACTTTTTTTCATTCTTTTTTCTTTTTGCTTCTCTGACTGGGTAAGTTTCTGTGCCCTGTCTCAGGTTCACTGATCATTTCTTCTGCTCCATCAATCTGTTGTTGACCCCTCCCCCTGGGTATTTTTCAATTCAGTTATTCTTTAGTTCTGTGAATTCTGTTTGGAACTTTCTTATATTTTCTATCTCTGTTGAAGTTCTCACTGTATTCATCCATTCTTCTCCCAAGTTCAGTGAGCATTTTTATGACCACTGCTGGAAATTTTTATCAGGTAAATTACTTATCTCCACTTCGTTAACTTTTTTCCTGAGCTTTTATCTTGTTCTTTCATTTAGAACATATTTCTCTATTTCTTCATTTCGCTTGATTCTATATTGGTTTCTATGCATTACATGAAACAGCCACCTCTTCCAGTCTTGAACCATTGTCCTTGTGTAAGAGATGAACCTTTTCATTCAACCCTGCCCTAGCTCTTGGTTTTCTCTCAACCCTTTGTAATTGTCCAAGCAGCCTATTTTATTTTTAATAGCTCCCAGTAGTTGAGGATGTACCAAGATCAGTCAGTGTCCCAAAGGGGAGAGAGCTCAGTCATTACCTTTATTCAGGCTGATTGGAAACCAGGTCCTCAGGCAGCAGCTTTTCAAGAATGAAAATATATGCAGTCCTCTAGGACTGCAAGCATAAGCATACTGGCCCCCAGAGCCAAGCCATCTGGAGGTGTCCCCTGGCAGCAGTCACAAAAATTGGGACTGCAAGTGGGTGTATAAACTCCTTTCTGGGAGATACCACTGTTCTGTAGTCATGCATAGGGGAGTGCAAAGATGGTGTTCCCTGAGCACCTTCTTTGAGAGCACCTCCATAACCTCTAGGTGTGTGCCAAACCTGAAGCCTGCCCTCAGGGCTGAAGTTCCTGGATGAGCAAATAGGCCACTTTTACAAAAAGTCTGGGAGTGTGTTTCAGTCTGCTGTCTGTGCAATACCCTAGGGATGGTAGTCTTCTAAGAACTGTCTCTATAATTGTTACAGTCCTGTGGGACCCAGGAATGCAAGCCCCCCTGGCCAGGTGATCAAGGGGCATTCCCTGGGTGACAGCTGCAAAAACGGTGTCACCAAATGTAAAAACCAGTGCACCAGAGGTGTGTAGAGCCTCCTGTCCAGGAGGTAGAGGCACTCTGGAGCACAGCAGAGGGTGAGCACAAAAATGGTGGCCACTAGCTGAAGCAGGGCAGAGGGGGAGTACAAAGGTGGCATCCACTGAAAAAAGGAAAAGAAGAGAAAGAAAAAGAGAAAAAAGAAAAAGAGGACGGGAGGAAAAGGAAAGAAAGAAGAAAAAGAAAAAGATGACACCCACCAGAAAGCGGGGGAAAAAGATGGTGCCTGCAGGCTTTAGCAGTGCAGAGGAGAGTAGGAAGATAGTGTCCATCAGCCTCTGTCCTGGGGAGTATCCCAGCAGACCCCTGCCCCTTAGACCAATGTTTTAAAATTAGTAAATGAATCTCTCTCACATGAAGTCTGGGTTCTTTTCAAAGGGCTGCTTGTGGACTGAGCTCTGGGGTGGGTGAGCCTGGGTGTAAGCCCTTTAAGAACCCTCCCTCAGGGCTTCACTGGTGGCACAGTGGTTAAGAATCCACCTGCCAGTGCAGGGGACACAGGTTCAAGCCCTAGACCAGATCCCACATGCCACAGAGCAACTAAGCCCATGCACCACAACTATTGAGCCTGTGCTCTAGAGCCCATGAGCTGCAACTACTGAGCCCGTGCACCTAGAGCCCATGCTCTGCAACAAGAGAAGCCACTGCAGTGAGAAGCCCGCACACAGCACTAGCCCCCACTCTCCACAACTAGAGAAAAGCCTGCGCACAGCAACAAAGACCCAGTGCAGCCAAAAATAAAATAAATTTTAAAAAAGGAACCCTCCCTCGGTTCCACAAAGCCCCACATGTCTCATGGCATGAGACATGTTGGTCTTCAAAGTGAGATGTTTTGGGGGCTCATCCCTCAGATGCCAGATCTTAAAAGTTGGGGTGACCTATGTGGGGTATGAACCCTTCACTCCTTCTGGGGAAGCTCTGGGTTTTGAGTTTCTTCCTGACTATGGGTCATTGCACGAGGGGTGGGGTTTATGGTGAGATAGTGTCTCAGCCTTTTCTACCCACTTGGATGTAGTTTCCTTCTCATTTGCCCAATGTAACAGGGTCTCTCCGCCAGTTTTGAGGGGTTTCTCAGAGGAAATCGTTCCATATATAGCTGTAGATACAGTGTATCCATGGAAGGAGGTGAGTTCAAGATCTTTCTACATCACCATCTTTCTAAAATTTCTAATTAAGGGGTTTTTGTTGTGGTTATTTATTAGTCTTTAAAAATACATAAGCACAAACTTTTAAGAATTACAATTTTTAATATTCAGTTCCATAATTTAAGCATGAAGAAACTCTAGCTTGAATCTTGCCAGAATTGTTTAGGAAAGCTGGATGTACATGAATTTCATTTGCTCTGCATTTACATCATCCTAATCTTTTTTATAACAATTGCATGTTTTTTCATCAGCCTTTGACATTTAGAAAGTAAGAGCTATGCATTAAAACCTCTGCAAGAAAGTAAACTTTAATGAAATTTTTTTCTCTCAGTCCCAAAGGGAACATGAACTCTAAAATTGACTGTTGTATATAATAAAAGGCATGGCTGCAGCTGAAAGCATTCATAATAAAGTACAGAACTCAATTTCTACTTTATCCTCTGTCTACATTCATCAGATAGCTGGGTATATAACTTTATGATAGAGCATTCTTCCTAAGAAGTGTGTGAAAGCTAAAAAATCAAATAAATCTGGTTTCGAAATAGTGAAACCAGATTAAATGTGAGGAAGCTAGACTGAGTACAACTACTCAACATATATAAAGATACATATTAAACAAACATTTGCACAGATTGGCATTGCTTGCATACAGGAACCCCCCTTCTGGATTTAAGAATAAGGTTCAGTTTCCTTTTCTGTTTTTTAAAATGGTGGAGGTTGGGAGTGTCAGGGCAGAAAGGAAGTGCTTTAGTTAAGCAGAGTCTGGTATTCCTTCCTGTCTGCATACTTCCTGAAGGCTGTTACACAGATGGAGAAAGGGTGTGGGGAGGAGGTCCTCTTTGTGGAGAGGAGATTGGTGTCTTAGCAGCTTTAATCAAGATTGCTATGACCTATATGCCCTGAGCAAAGTAGCACTTTTCATACACTATCCTATTTAATCCTCTCAATAAGGCTTTGAGGTGTAGGTAATTTTCTCATTTTAAAATTGAAGAAAAAGGGTAAGTAACATGCACAAATTAGTGTTTGAGCCAGGAGTCTAAGTGGGCTCCTGACTCCAGAACCAAAGACCTTTACACCTGGATGTATGCACATTAATGATGCACTGACTGTATCCTGAGGAAGCCAAGGGTGGATGATGGTCTGAAGGCTTTTCAGTAGAATGTTACTTATTTAATTATCCTCCCACGATTTGGCTTTTTTAGTATTTTGTTTATATTGGTTACACTAGGGAAATAAACAGTATAAAACACTTGTTTGAAATGAGCATTTGACACTGCCGATCGTGTCCTCCCTGAAAAGATCATCTCCTTCATTCTTCCATTGTCAGGGAGTGCTGAGTAGCTGAACGTCATCTCTGGCATCTTGGTTGCATGTCAGGACCACACAGCTGAAGTGTATTGACTAATCCCATGCACTGTCCCTAGAGAAAATGGAGTCTAACCCTGTGTGGTCGCCACCTGGGAGTTATGGCCTTTCAAATCTCAGTGCTGTTAGCCTTAACTGCAAGCTGTTTTGAATCTGCCCCACACAGGTGCATGCTTTGGGCATCAGCCAGAGATTTGGGCAGGATTAATACACAATGTCTGGGGCTCCCACTATTCAGTTTTCTCCTTTCTGGGATTCCCCCCGCCCCCCGCTCACTTTCCAGCTGCTCTGGTTACCTCCATCTCTATTCTCTAGTTTTTTCAAGCCAGTAAGGGTGCATATTTCTCTCCCAATTTTAGTCACCCCTACACCCTGTGGTCTGTCCTCTGGCTGAAAGCTGTAAAAATAGGAAACTTACTCAGTGCCATGCCATTCCCTTCTTCCAAGCATCAGACTTTTACCTCCACTGTCTATCTTCTTTTGGTTACTCTTTAGTGCCTTCAGGTAGGCCTTTATATTTTTCTTTAATTTTGTCCAGAGTTTATAGTTGTTACCTGTGCATATGTGTTGAGGGCCAGAGGACACACACGGCAGAAAGGTCCAAAAGGAACCTTAATGAGCTGTCTTTTTAAGTATCAAATTCTGTGCAAATCAATCAGTTTTCATGTTAAAATTAGATACAGCTGACATCAAAAATGTCTTAGAATTATGATCTCACAAAATCATGATTCACTGTTGACCTTTCTTACTTCTGCCTGTTTTGTTCATACTGTCTTTACCATCTAAATGTCTCCTCGGTTCAATTACTGTTTGAGAATGATTTATTGACGCAAGTCGTGGTGCTAGATCCTCTACCTATTGAAATCGTGTTCATTCAAAATTCATATCAAATGCACATGACTCCAGGATCACTCCCTCACTCCTAATCGGTAGATAGATGTGCTTTATTGTTCTTCTGAATACCTTTGATGCTTTGTTTCCCCCCCCTTATGACATTTTATTTATTATTATACTTGCTTTCCCCTCACCCCCCCCCCCACCACCAGCCTTGTTCCCCCATTAGATTGTAAACTTTACCATGGCAAGGGCAAGTCTCACTCATGTTTGTATCCATCCATGCTTCCTTAAACATGCTTTTTTAAAGTCAGGAACCAAAAAGACACATGAAAGTTTTTGCAGTTGGAGAAAAGGGGGGGAATATAGAACACTAGTTTCCTATATCTCTATCCTCAGTAGTAGAGTGGAACATCAGATAATAAAGCATTCTTGTTTCTAGAGAGCAACTTAATAGAGACAACTCTTCTTCCCCTAATTCTTCTCCTTCCTCTTTGTTTACCTCCTCCTCTTCCTCTTTCCCCTTCTCCTCTCCTCTCTCCTTTTCTCCTTCTGCCTTTCTTTTTCTCACTGTTTAATTGTGATCTAATTTAATCTTCAACTTTCTTTGTATGCTTAGTCTCCGCTTCAAAATGGGATATGTGTTGGTATGAAACCCTTTTGCTTTAATTTGTTATAGTTCAGTAAGGGATCCCTTCTTTTACCTATGAAAATTTAGTGCCAGAACTTAACTAAATAGCACAGTGATGTCTCCAAGATAGTTAGTCGAATAACCCAAATGTTTGATTCTTCCTTAATTTATAAACTACTGAGCCATAGTAATGAACGTACTGTAAAATGAGAACTGTAGAAATAACGTTAAGTGAATTAAATTATTTTCCCTAATAATCTCACTTCTTCCTTAGATTCAGGTCAGAAGACATTTAAAAGGAGAAGGTCTATCATAAACTGGGCCTTCTGGCGGGGCTCTAGCACTCACCTGGATAACTTGCCCATGTCACCAACATCTCCTGTGCCAGGACAGCTCTTTGGGGTTTCTCTGCCAAATATCTGTGAGAACGACAATCTGCCCAAAGCTGTCTTGGTAAGTCTCATTTTGGCCTGTAACACTAACAGGAAAGGAGGTTTGGGAAAGGAGAGCTCAGGGAGGTAAATCTATCCCTAAATGGAAAATTATAGACACCCATGGCTCTGGCTGAGAATCTTTATTATTACCTCAAAGAATAAAAATCTGATTAAGCTATTGCAGAGTCATAAGGCAGACATAATGGGGAGAGATGATCTAGTCTACTGGTTTCAGGGAAAAGCCACATAAACCTGCTCAGATAAATTAGAATCTGCTTTGTAGAAAGAGAATCCACATTAGCCCTCACATTTCTCCCACAGCCTTTCTTGAACCCTACATTGCTCAGAAAGTCTCATTTAATCACTTTAGCAGCAGAGACTAAATCTTATTTTTCTATACTAAATCTTATATTTGTATTCCAGGTCTTTAAGCATAAAGATACATCTGTTGGCATTTAATTATCTTTTGTATGTACAAGGGATCAAATGAAAGCCACTGAGTATTATTGTCTCTGGTTAATATAGTAAATGATCACTGTTAAGCAACATTTATTGAGTGTCCACTATCCTCCAAGCACTATGCTAGATACCTGGCACTTTTTCCTGTATTGTGCATCTATTGTACTAGTCTAGCCACTTTATTGCTTATCCATCACAACAGATTTAGAGGGTAGTTACCATCATCATCATCATCATCATCACCATCATTCCTACTTTACAAATTAAAGGAAAAAAAACCCTCGAGTTTACCAAAGGTCACACAATAAATACATGTCATAGCTAGGTTCCAGATCCCATGGGTTGCTCCTCTCCAACACCTATTCTCTTCCTACATGGCAAGCAGAGGACACACAGAAAGAAAGCAAGCAAGATGAAAGATTGAACAGAATGGAATGCAATGAAGAAAACTTCCTGGAAGAGATGCTTTTGGAGGCTGATTTTAGAAGAAGGAAGTAAATACAGGAAGTAGAATAAAATGTAAAGTCACATGAAAAGAAAGACAAGCAAGTGGAGAGTGAATTTGGCAAGAGCATTTCCATATTAGGGGAAAAGAGTCCATATTAGAGAATAATGGGGAAAGAG